AGGCAAGGGGCGGAGGATGGAACCTCAGGAACAACTAAAGACCAGGGAATGCATACGAAATGTACTGATCAGTAAACATCCATCAGGTCCCAGTGATAGATTCAAAATAAACACTCAGGGGCTGCTTATACCGGGCAGACCTCAACCTCAGTCAGCTGGCCCTGCTTGCTACACCTCCAATTCTAACTGTGTATGCTGCACATGGAAACAGTTTGCATCACAAAAGGAAACATAACCTGATGGAAATTACTTTGCCATGTATTTTGTGCTTCTGCACATACCTAATCACTTAGTGATGCTGTAACTTTAAAGTGGATATTTTATCTACCAGCACCTAGTAATCAGGATTGGACAACTTCACAAGTGAGAGAATATCATCTTAAAAACTGGTTTCTCCTGAAAAAAGCAGTTGCTACCTAAGTATTATCTCCAAATAGTACTATTAACAGTAAGTATGCAAAAACTTATTCTTTTGCAAAACTTGTACTCTAATGTAAAAACACTTTTTAAAATCCATTTATAGAATTTTCATTAAAGTCTAAATACTTCTGTTGAGAAAACTATCAAAAACCAAGTAAATGGGCACTCTCTGATACATTTCCCTAACTGAATATTTTTACAAAAAGTCTCAGGGTAAGTGGAAAATTTTGGTTCCTTCATTCAGATTTCTGCTTCCTGTATGGATAAATATATTTAATGACTGCATTATCATATTACCTTTCCGGTGTGGTTTTCTCTTAAGGCTTAGTATTTCCTGCTTCCACTCATTATGAAGAAAAACTGTAGGGGATTTATTTATTTATTTATTTATTTATTTATTCACTCACTTATTTATTCACTTATTTATTCACTTATTTATTGATTTATTGAGACTACATGGCTCATGCTGGCCTTGAACTTGAACTTGCTCTGGAGCTCAGGCTGGTCTCAAACTCACAATCCTCCTGCTTCAGCCTCCCAAATGCTAAGATTATAGGTACCTGGGCTCTCATTCCAGTTGCTGCCATTATAATAGGCATCATTTTAAGAATGTGACTAGGAAGTCTCCGAACCCAACCAGGCCTTTCTTCCTTAACGGGTAGCTGTGTATTATGTCATGTTAAAAATAAGCCAACCTGAAACGCTGCCATGTTGAAAAAGGAAGACAATTTTTTTTTCTAAAATACTTTCACGTACTCAACAGTTCAAATACCTTGCTGTTCTCCTGAAGTAAGCTGTCTCGCAAGATCCATAAATATATTAAAGCCACTTATATAGGTCAGCTAATATGGGCTATGCTTTTTTAAGCAGCAGCTGACTAAGCACATTCCGCATCTTGCTAACAAAGTTCCGGTACATAATAATATTTTAATCAACCACCAAGAACAATGACAGAGCTGACTGCTGGGCTGACCATCGCCTCACCACCCTCCTACTGGACGAGCCCCTCATTCCCGGACAGCCCACTCTAAGAGGGGCCCACCACGGGGAGAGCCTGGAGTGGCGGCCGGGAGAACCTCTGTATCTATATAAAAGAGATTAGAGGCGACAGCATTCCATTTTACAGCTCAATCATATTGTGTTAGCATGCGCTTATCCGAGCACGGACGAAATTGAAAGAGAAATAAAAAAGAGCCAGGCAGATAGGAACCAGAACAGCCAGGCATGAGCAATTTCCAAGGATATAAAAGGATGCTAATGGCGGGCCCCTGTCATTCTTAAAAAGGGCTATTAGGGCACCGTCATCTGTTCTCGTGCCCTCACGCTCCTGCGGCTGGAGTGGAGCATTTGCTAAAGCCCTTGTGATCTTTTCTCTTCCGCAGATAAAGTGTGGTCATGTTTCAGAAGAACGCATTTCCCATTTATGTGATGTATTAATGTACGTGAACTAATTCTATTTACTGATAAAAAAAAAATCCGCTCCATATGTATTTTTTTGCAATATTTTCTTTTGTGCAAGTCTCCACTCTTTATGCAGCACAAGCAAGTACCCGAAAGCACATCCCCGCAGTGCGGGAGGGTGACGCAGGGTCCCAGACGCCTCCCTTCACCTGAGGCGCGCGCTGCTGTGAGTGTCAGCGGCTGTGAGTGTCAGCGTGTGCGCGGCCGGCTGCAGTACCTGGGAGCTGCACGAAGGTAACAAAGCCTGAGATGTTAGTATATGAAAAACGCAGAGCTGACTCGCTTACAATGTCCCCTTCACAGAGAGAGAGAGTTTGAAATTTAAGACAAAGATGGGAATTTCCAGCTCTGGTTGGGTTTTAATTCTGGCTCTGACCTCATATGCAGCTTGGCCCCTATATCAAGAACACAATTTTATTTTTATCAGCATGGAAATGTGGCTCTAGTCATTCATTCCGTTTGCCTTCACTGTCTGCCCCACACTCTGCATAGCTCGGTGTGGCTCCCCTGATATCCAGGAACCCAGAGTAAGCCAGCTTACTTGGAGATGAAAGTACACTCTCCTTCTCCCGCTCAAAATGTTATAGGCATACTGATTGTTACAAAATTAAAAGGAATCAGGAATGGTGGTGCACGCCTGTAATCCCAGCACTCAGGAGGCTGAGGCAGGAGGATCACAGCAAGTTTGAAGCAGCCTGGACTACATAAAGAGTGTAAGCCCAACCTGAAGTCCTGAGACCCGTCACCAAAAGCCAAAAAAAAAAAAAAAAAAAAACTTAAAAGGAATTTCAGTTCATTTTTGTTTCACTAATCTCCTTCTGAAAAGCCAAGATACTCCTCGCAATCTCTGAAAATACCCTCGGGGTATGAGGAAAACCAGAGCTGTGAATCACGCTCCACAGTGGCCTGCTCCGGCATCTGCCACGGATAGAGAATCACTCCCCTCAGTCCTCACCGATTCTAAGCCCCGGCTTAAGACTGAGCACATAATCACAGAGTAATTGTTTCCACCACTGGAAATAGTGTGACTCAGAGTTATTTAAAGTTACCATCTCTGCAAAAGTCACGGGGCCCCGGCCCTGTGCCTGTCCTGTGCCGAGCTCCTTTGTGAGCTGACATTTCTACTTAGATGCACAACCAGACCTGCACATTTTATCACTGACTTTTCCCTACCAGAGGCATGGAAAGAGTGGTTGACTTTTATTGGTCTTTATTATGGCATGTCTGGGCAATATCCAAATACCGGCTTAACAAATCCCCTAATTCAGGCAGACTCGAGGAGAGCCGGGTAAATAACAGAAGGTCTGGAAGCACCGCGAGAGCCCCGCACGCTGCTGTTGTCGTTAAGGAGGAGAACACTGTCATCATCGCTGTTTCGAAACAGTTCTCTGAAATGCAATGGACTGGGAGATGAAAAGGGCCTGATTCTGTTCGCAGAAGCTCTGCTGAACACATGTTTTGAAGGCACTGGATGTGTCTATGGACTACTGCAAGTGTTCGCTCCATCTTCCTGCCTCCGAACCATGCTTGAGTTGAGGATAGTAAGGCCTGAGCTCTGGGTTAGAACAATGGCTGTCAGTCTTGGGGACAGACAGGGGAGCAGGCTGTGTAATTTGCCTGCCTTGGGGGTGGAGAGCAAAGTCTGGGGACACGGATATGCTGAGGGTGCTACTGGCATCTCGTGGGTGGAGGCTGCCGCGACTCACCCTATAATAAACAGCCGGTCCCTCACAGCAGAGAATTACCTAGTCCCCAAAATCAGTGGTGGCTAGGATGAGAAATCCCAGGCTAGAATAATGATATTTCAAGTATGTATATGACATGCCATATTACTATAAACAATGTATTTTTATTAGCTGAAAGAAGGTCTGTAGATACCTCAACAAACATTCTTTTTGTTTACTTCTACTCTAACTGTTCTGTACCACATTCCTTCCAAGTAACATTCTTCACTCTTCAAGCAAACTCTGCCGTAGCTCTCAAATGTCTCAACATCCTTTAATATCTCCCTTTCTTCCTTTTCGTAGACTTCACACAGATGGAGTTGCAATCACATGCCGCACCAACTACCCACATGCTCAAAATCCTGCCCTTTCTTTTAGCTGGGGTAACCTTTGTGAAGGTATTTTCTAAAGAACACACTCAAGCTCACCTATTTAACTAGTTTTGACTTAATTTGGGGTGCTTTATTAGCAACCAGTGTAAGACAAAGTAGCTGGTATAATCCAGAGTGATGTTTAAATTAGTTTACAATTTGCTTGGCCTCATCTAGAAGTGCGCCGAACAAAGCCATTCAGAAATGTCAGCTGTGTTCCCAACCACTGTAACAAATCGTCGCCGAGCGCCGCACACCTAATGACTTCAAATTAGCTTCACTGCGATATAGCCTGACAGTTCGTTACGACTGTTAGCAACATCGCCGGCGTATCATGACCAATAAATTGGTTTCAGTGTGGGCTGGGAAAGGGACTTCCATCAATTTGATTAAAGAAATTACTGTAGCATTCAAAGCATAAAGACAAACTAGTTTAAGGAGACACAAGTAAGTTAACTGTACCAGAAAAATATTGCCCAGCATTCAAAAATTTGATTGTAAACTACTGAAGAGTCCAAACAGATTAAAAAATTTAATTCAAACAGAATACTCAAATTCTTAAAACTCACAGTCAGGCGTATGGGCACTGATATTTTAGGATGGGTCAAAAGAGAAAGGTAAACACAAACTGTAAATAGCTATAAATTACCAAATGAGAAAATTCATGTCAATTTGATACTTATTTTCATAATTAGTCTATAAAGTCATGGTAAATATCTAACGGTAAACCAAAGAATGACATATGGATACAAAGAGCAGATCAATACAAATAGCCACCGTAAAACAATGAAATGGGTCATTCCTAGAAGGAAGAAATGTACATCAGATGACTCTCACAGCTCAAGGGGTACAAACACATAAAGGTTTATGATTCTATTAAAATCAGCAAAGCTGTGAGTTAAATGTGATTAAAAAAAATGTGAAGGTTAAAAAGATCCTACTAGGAGATTCTGAATTTTCCCAAATCATCATCCATAACCCAGAGAACTCACTACGACCCTTCTTTCCTTTTCAGAAACTGTACCTGGAATATGCTTCGCCCATCCAATGATGACCACCAGCTCCCGGTCGGCCAAGTCACACAGTGTGGTGAGGGCTTTGATGTCACTGTCAGGGACAGTAGGGTCAGGCATGGCATAGATCTTCTCCGGTTCAGCCACCAACAAATGTGAGACAATCTTGTTATCTGCAGGATCAGACCAGAGAACTACAACATCACTGGGAGAGTATCATCCCTCTTAGAGAAGCACCGCAGTGTTTTGAAAAATAATTCACACAGCCCTCAATAAACCCCACATAGCCCATACATCATATCCACGAGTTCCACCTCATTCAGAAAAGCTCACAGCAAGAAACAAGCCACTGCAGTCGTCATGGAATTTATCCTGTTCTTATTTGCTTTACCTGTTCTCTCTGGGATGAACCATCTCTCCGGTACTGAACATTTTTGCAGCAAACATATAAGAGACGTTAGATGCTTTCTGGGTTTGCTCTCTGATTCTTAAGTGGGATTTGGGGAAACAGATTAAAGAGTATACAACAGCTTTAAAATGAAAATCCATGGTAAACCAGTGAAATATAGGCTAGGATGTGGAAGCCAGAGAAATGCTAAAGCCCAGTCACAATAGGCATGGACGTCATTAATTGTCTAAATTCCTTTAAAGAAGAGCAAAGGTCAGAGCCCTTCTGCCTGGGTGAATTACTGACTATATAACTCTATCTCCGTGGGATGCATTAAACAGGAATTTCTTTCCTTCTCTCCCTTCCCACGGGCCCAGCTAGCCTTCCAAATATAGCTAATACCAGTTTCCATAAAAATACTCCTACTTAAATGGCACAGTATTTTCTCTTCTGGGTACCCATTCCTTTACCCTCTATTTTCACCTGTTATCCTTAGTTCATTCTCCACTTCAGATTTATCTGTCTGAAATTGGTGATATATGTTCTTAAAATCCTTCATAAAATACAATGGAGACAAATGGGAAGCATCACGCCGCATGTGCTTTACTGCTCAGGGGCATGTGGGAGTTGTAAAGCTGGGTGAGGGGATGGTTTTTCTCCTTGGTCCAATTTTCACTTTCTGTACATAGCTTTACATTTTCTATCTCCTTCTAAGTGTGGAGAGCCAGATGGATAAGAGGAAGCCCACATGTTCCAGCATTCCATGTACAGTTATTCTAAACAACCAGGGCACTTGGGAAACTCCCTGTGAATAGAACCAAAGGATGCTATTCACTGTGTTCACCAATTTGCCTTTTGCCATACATTCTTGACTTTTTTTCTTTTTACCCAAAAATGACATTTCACACAACTTCGAATAAAACATAGCATTGTTTTACTCTCCCATCCTGAAATAACAAGACTTATGTAATCTATAGTTAGTACTTTTTCTGACAGGATATTTTAAAAATTTATTAACATGGCCATATGAATTACATTTATTTCAAGTATTCACCAGATCACTAGTTATTGGCAGTAATGTTCAATGATCATTAGCTTGAACATCAGATTGGGGTGGAGAGATTCCCAAATACCACAGGTCTTAGAGAAAAAAAAGCAACTAGATTATTTTTCAATTTACAGGATTTGCAAAGAATGACATTTGCTTCTTGACTATGCTATAGGAAAAACACCCTGTGTTTTTAGTTATGCTTGGAGAAGTTTAAACTTGCACTGGCAGTGCACCAAACCCTGGCAGGAGCCACTAGATGCCCAGGGTTAGAGGAAAATGCACTAGTGAAGGGTAGACAAATGTAACCAAGGGAAATCATCCTGCTGGATGTTTTCCAGCACAGGGTAAAGGGGACCTGTTTGATCCTAGTCAATGGGTACTTGACTTGAGGGGTCAGAGAAATTCAGTTGAAGCTTAAAAATTTCCATCATTCAGAAAGTGGAATAGCCAGCAGCCCCATTCCTAGGTAAATCTTATTTAATGTTTCCCTAATTAGAATCAATAGAACCCAATTTTCATTCCTGGGGCTTTGTAGTACACAAACAATCAGTCAGGGTGCAGAAATCTCCCTAGCCACTTTCTCAGCAAAGCCCGGCCTGTCTCCTGACACTTATCTGACAGCATCTGAAAATTAAGTTTTATAAATGTTTGTTACAAAAACACACTAATTGGATGGACTAAGGAAAATTAGCGCAGAGGCCCTCTGATAATGAGTAATGATTTATTAGGAGCCCTCTTTATCTCAGACAAATGGAGCTCACTGAAATTGCTGTAATCTTCTTAGAGGTACTTGACAATCCACTTCCCAATTCCTCAGGTTTACACAAAAAACGATAGATGTTCCTTTATCATGTTGGCTTACAAACGGGCCCGGGTTCATTTTTCTTTCAGTAGAAAGTGTTATCAATGGTTTTGGTCCACATTCACACAAAATAAACCAGAAACGGGCAGTGTGTATATTATTGAATCAAGGAAAATTAAACCTCTAATGAAATGAAGCACCAGTGTTTATAGCATTTTATTGTATTATCAGAAAGTTTTTTATTATAATGTGCAAAATCTGCTCAGTGTAGTTCTAGATTGTATTTGCTGAATGCCAAACAGCTTAGGCAGGCTGAGGAGTCGATGCCAGATTGGACAATTGAAGGTATAATCAACATAATGTTTTTTGGAAAGGCAAAAGGAAAACTATGCCATATGTTCACTTAAGCTTTAATTTTATGTAAAACTGGTTGTTTTTCCTTTGACATAGCTGAAATGTCCTTTCGTTTACAGTTCAGGGGCTGTTTTATTTGTTTAATAGATTCCCATATGCTCCAAGTAAGATGCGCAGCAGCGACCCCTCCTGGACGGTCTGAATTAGAAGTGGATGCTGTCTTCCCGGGAAAGCAGAGCAAACACTCCCTGTACCTCTTCTAGAAATGCTGTAAAACCAACTTCCCCTGGTGAGCCTGCACGGGCTTCTATGACAGTGACAGCTAAGCGTGAGAAATCTGTACCAAAGCTCCTCCCAGTGCCCCGTATCAACAACGTGCAGAAACACTCCGAACTGTCGCTCCCTGACACTACTGCTATTAACTGATATTCCAGAAAATGGGACACAGTCACTGCCTCAATCTATATTCCAGCTCTTTTTAGTTAATGACAGAAAGAATGGGGTGCATGGCATCATGAAATCGCAGGCTCTTTAAAAACAATTCCTAATGCCCATCAGGGCCTCTGAGATGGAACCACCAACCTATGCTTATTATTAGTGGGGCCCATTCCTGTTTTAATCTGTTGCTAGCTCGGGTGTTAACCTTCTATAGCTCCAAATTAATGAGGCCCCTAATGTATTTTCATTGGGAGGATGAGCAGCCAAACTCATTTAGTTAGAGAAAACTACAAAAATCACTTCCTTGTGAAATCTGAAATGCATAGCTCGAATGAACTAATGGTCACAGTATGGTCCATTTTATGTACCTCTGGAAATAAAGACAACCAGTACATGTAAAAGGCACACCATCCACACAAGCTATGCATTCATGTGCTTATGCTTCCACAGAATTATAAGGTGCAAAACAGTAAGGGAGAAAAAAAACATAGGTATCTTTCAAAGGAAGAGAATGAGGATTAGTTACGATGCTGTTGTTTCTCCCAGACAATCCTTGGGCACGGAGCCACTGTTCTCCAGCAAAGAGAAGTCTCCTTGAAGCAGCAGGGGTGGGTGCACCAGCAGTCCGGGACAAGGCGCCAACTGGGAAGGTTTCCTGTGCTGGGAAGCAGACACAGCTGCTGTACTTACATGGCTTTTTGGCTGGCTGAACCAGCTGAGGGTTCAGGTATGGGCTGTTCTCTGCATCTATTCTGCGCTTGTACTTCTGCCGACCGCCACGTACTCTGTCAAGACGCACCCCTGTGGGCAAAGACAGGCACCAGCTTACTGTTTGGGTAACGATCATTGAGACAATCAAGCACACAGACAGTGGGCCCCGGCAGTGCTCTGCAGACACACAGGAGAATGCGGAGGGGTCCAGGGCGCTGGAGGAAAGGAAAACGTGCCGGCTAAATTATCACAACTGTCACAGGCTGGAAACCACCTCTCCAGCAGAGAACAGACCTAAAGACACTGTATACAAAGCCACCAGAGTCATCATTTATAATCCAAACAGATCAATTTCCACATCTGTTCATGCCCAGAAGGTGCTTTTCTGATCCTCATGTAGTTTCTTAAAGACAATGGCATTTTGTATTCTCTTCCTCTGGAAGCTCAGAGTGTGGGAGCCAGGAGACCAGGAGACCAGGAGACGTAGCGCTCCCACTCCCCGCCCCTCCCCGAATCCACAGAAGACTCATCTGGAGATAGGACGGAGAGCCGGGGGAGGTACACTACAAGAGACTCAGTTCTATGCGGTGTAAGATTGCTCCTTAATGAAATGTCAATATGCCTCAGAATGGGAACGTGGTTTATGATTTGGCACACATTTGTATTTCCTGTCCTAAGCGGGAAATGCTGAGCAGATCAGGTTGAACAGGATACAGTAAGGCCTTCCTAAGAAAGAATTCAGAAAGCCAAGATGTTGGAAGAGTGTTTGTGTTGGGGGGAGCTCAAGCGGGAGGTGGAAAGGAGGTGGTGAAAATATAGAAAAGTTTCTTTTACGTGGAAGCCGTGATGGGAAAGAACTTACTAATAATCTAATTTCTGGCCTACAGCTGTAAGGTGTAGAACAAGACCAAACTTTTCTTTCCCAAATAAAGGCAACAGGAACAAAGAGAGACTCTTGCTGTGGACTGGGCTGTACCTGAACTGATAGAACAGGGTAACATCATCTATTAATAAATTCAACCACAGAATGCATTATACATATTTTGGCATTTCTCAAACTGTTTAGGAAATAGATTTGGTTTAACGGCATCATCAGTATTATTATTATTTTACTGTAAGGCCTCTCGGAGCCATGAATATGCAAATACACTCCGTAAAACTCTACAAAGGAGATATATAGCATATGCAATGTTTTCCAAACCAAGAAATGCTTTTTTTCAGAATATTTATTAATGTCATGTGGAATGAGTGAGCGGTGGGTTACCTGAGTTATAGGAAAGAGTCTGGTGAAGGCCAACGCATTTCTATGTAAATACCTAAGGTGAATGCATTACTCAAATGTTAGGGATGATTAGGGATTCCAGAGACAAAAGGAAACACAATTTTTCATATTGCCCTACTACTAATACTTTAAGATTTGATTATCTTTTGGCGGAACACACAAACAAACGATTAGTTCTGGGCAAAGCCTTCACTGATGTACCCACACAGCAGAATATAAACAGAATCAGGAGATGACTTCAAGAGCAATTAAGTAGGTCAGACAAACAATTATCAGAAACCAAAGAAGTCAGATACCGCTTTTTAAATATTCACTGCCAGGGAAGGTGCGTGCAGTCTTCCCTGGAAGTTGTCATATGCGAGGGTCATAAGGAAGCTGTTCCTCTTAAAGAATTTCAAGTCCACAAGAGAATCCCTTTGTTCCTCGAATTCCTAAATTCTTCCTTTTGTGGCATCTACATTTGCTAAAGTTTAACACCTTCCACTTCTTTCTCCATTTGCTGTGCTTTGTCTTTTTCCTCACTTCCTCTCCAAAACTTTCTCTAAGCTATGTTTTCAGTTTATATAAAGTGATCCCATTTTATCTTATCATTTAAGAAACATTCACACCTGTTTCATGACATGTTTGAAGAATTCAGAATCCTATTAGAATATACAAAGCATGACATTAGTCATGTCCTCACGTGCCTGTCGTCCGATCCCAACACAAGGAAGACACTTGACCCAGTATTACTGGAATTGGTTAGAGAAGGCAGGGAGGGCCGATAGAAAGCAAAGTAGTGACAGGCGAAGTCTAAGGACGGCAGGAACGTATTTGGGTGCCTGTAAAATCATTAGAACAATGAAAGCTGGCAGAATTGGTTCTTTGGTATGGGGACTCCTGAGTTGGCTTTTGTGGCTTGTCAGACCACGAGCGCTGTTTTCACACATCAGGTAACCTATTTGATGTGGTCAGCGCTGGTGGACTCCTGACAATGCAGCTGGCCCCACAGGGAGCTGGCAGAGGAGGACTGTGAAGTCCCAGGCCCAAGGCCTCAGCTGCAGACATTGCACACGCATCTGTGATACTCACACTAATGCACCAAGCCGGCGGTGTCCACCGAGCAAGCGCAGTACTGAGAACTTGTTACTATCCCTGAAGGAAGCACCCACACCTGCATCTTACAGGTCTTTCACCACGTGTTATAGTTAGGTGTTGTCAAATAATTATGATTACTGTGCGTTTCCTTTTCAACTTTGAAAACTGACTTAGAGACATATTCATATAATTTCTCCATGTTTCAACCGAATCTGAAGGCGCAGTCTCTCATGTCCGCTCCCTCCTTCCATGCCTTCCAGCTTGGGTACATCAACAGCTATCCACCCACTCCTCTGTTCACCTGCTCAGCCTCCTGTTTGTCCACCTATGCATCCACTCCCTACCCACATCCACCCACTTTCAAATAGTCAAGGACTTTTCATGTACACCATGATTTTAGACCTTACTTCCTAAAGTAAAAATCATTCAGACAAAGCATTCCTTTACGATTTGTAACTTTATTTATGTGAACTTCAGTAGAAAAAAAGATTAGAAAAAAGATTAATAAGTACATAGCAAAAGTCAAAAGAGACTCAATATGCAGAAAGATGTTTTTGCTAAGTGTAAACAACTAACGGCAAAAGTTTCTAAAGTCAATATATTTTGAAAGATCACAATAATATACAGATGGATATTTCATTCCTATCAAAAGCAGGCAAATATCAACAATTTTAAATACTTCAAAGCAGCTGGGCATGGTGGTGAACGCCTATAATCCCAGCAGTCAGGAGGCTGAATTAAGAGGATCACGGTGAGTTCACGGTCAGCCGGGGTTGTACTGTACGTGAGACTCTGTCTCAAAAACAAAAAACAGCAACAAAAATACCCTTCAAACTAATTAATACTAATTACTAAACTTCAACATCTGCCTTTTATGCAACTCGTGAAACTATTACTATGATAACCGTCATTATTTGTTTTAGCTGACTTTAAACTTGGTGAAATGTGTGACCCCAAATTGTAATTACACATAGTAGTACCTAGTTCTCCATCATACTAAAACTGTTCATCAATATTTCATTACATGGGGGGGATATTACGCCAAATATTTCTCAATAAATATTTACCCCAATAAATCTCCAAAAGTAAAATCACCCCCAAGCAGGTCTTTAACATGTGGACACAGCTGCTTTTTCTTTCTTATTTTTTCTTCTCCCTTACTCTTTTTTTTGGGGGGTACATTATTAAAAATATCTATTCTTGTGAGCCATGTTAACATAAGCACTTACATTTTGGTAATATTTTAAATGGTCTGATAAAAAGTAATATCGAACAGGTATCATTAAGATATGTCTAAATTTGCAACATAATTCTACTTCTAAATTTCTCCAGAGAATCAAATTTTAAAAACTAAAGACACCAATATAATTAAAGCATTAAGTCACAAATGAGGCTCTATTATAGGAAATAAAACATCAAATTGGGAAAAACATTTCTCATGATTTTAATGGGAAACAAATTCTGTATAATGATATTGTTGTGGTTTGAGTCTAGATGTTCCCCCAAAGCCTCATGCAGTCACGGGGCGGGCTTCTAGAGTTCTTGGCTGATCCATGGTCCAATGCTGGGATTATGGGTGTGAGTGCTACACCCGCCCTGGGATGGGAGCCTGCATACAGTATAAGGGAGGGAAAGAGGCTTGCTCTCTGCTGCTTGTTCCTCTCTTTTTGCTCTTGTTACTTTTGCTGTCTTCTGCAGCCATGAGCTATTGCCCTCTGCCATGTGCCACTCTGCCTTGGAGCCAGCCAAGTATGGACTGAAACCTCCACAAACTGTGAGCTAAATCAACCCTCCCATCCTTAGTTCTGGGCATTAGTTATTTTGTCTCAGCCATGACAGAAAAGTAACTGAGACATACACAGAAACATATATCTTCCTGTTAGCAAGTTAATTCACAAAAGCAAAAAGTAGATTGCAAAGGACAGAAGTATTTAACCAAAAATAAGCCCACTGCCATTTAAATTAAAACACCATAAACAAAATATACTGAATGAAGATTGTATCTTTTTGCAGTTGTTGGACACATGTTTAACTCATGACTTGGCACTAGCAGGAGTACATGAAAACACCATGTTCAGTAAGAAAATATATATCCATTCGAAAGGAGGATGAGTTAGGGAAACAGGGAAAGGTGGAAATCACCAAGCAGTACTTTAAGTAGCTATTCATAACTGCACTTAACTTGTAAGAAGTATTTGGCCTACGGTTTTTAGCTGTGCATACATTAAAATGAAGGGTGAGTGACTGTGAGTCTCTGCCTCACCTTGAGTTTGGTCCTTTATCTGCAGTGATGATTTTCTGAAGTTTCTTTTTCCCTTTTCATTGTTTCCAACTACAATAACATAATACTATATTCTTAAACATTATGTGAAAATGTCATGGAAAACACAGCATAGGTTAGCCATCAAAATGGTTCTGTTCTGGGACAGGGGTACAGCTCAGCGGTGTGGTGCCCGCCTGTCAAGCACAGTCTGGAGTTCAAATCCCAGTTCCAAAAAGGAAAAACAAGGGCTCTACTCTTTCCCGACTTTGCATAACTAGCTCTGCAGACTCTAATGAGTGCCTTAACTTTTCCAAATATAAGATGGCTCCATGATGTTTTGCTATTATGATCTGATAATATGATACCATGAATATTAAGGAAATGAATATTTAGATAGCTTATAAACTTTAAAATGACAAGTAAAAATACAAGAATTATCATCACATCATTACTTTGTTGAATTACTGC